CTTCATTTTGGGAAACCAGATCTACATTTTGAGAAATTTACGCCTACGTTTTGATAAATTAGACATTGAATTTTGCAATTACATTTTCATTTTAACATAGACTTTTGCTGCGTATGGCACCCCATAGGTCAGGTGATGTTTTAGGTGAGTCTGCATTCATCCATTGATTTTGCAATCATGATTCTGTATTCACCAATTCATTCATTAAATGACTCTGCATTCATCTGTTTATTTTGTATTCATCCAATCATTACCCATTTATCCATTACTCTGTCTATTGATCCCACATTCAACCACTGATCCTGCACTAAGCCATCCCTCCCACATTCATTTATTGATTCTGCATTCATTCCTCATCCATTCATTCCTCATCCATCCATTAATTTAGCCTTCATCCAGAGATTCTGGTTTCATCCATTCAATCCGCCTACATCCAATGATATTGCACTTAATACCGGTGTTCATCGATTCTGCATTTAACCATTGATTTTGCTTTTATCCATTAATACTGTATTATCTAATGATTATGAATTCAACTGATTCCACATTCCTCTGTTTATCCCAAAAATCATTCACTTATTCTGCATTAATCCATTGATTCTGCATTTATCTATTGATTCAGATTACATTCATTGATCCCATATTCATTAATCTATCCCATATTCATCCATTGATCCCACATTTCTCCATTAATTTGTTCTTTCGATATCTAGGCCTAGCCTATGTGCATCATTATTTCATAAACCCAATCAAGAAGACATTTGAGTACAAGCTTTTTAGTTTAAGGTGGGTCATCAGTGTCAGGGGCGGATCCAGAGATGTCTGAAAAGGGGGCTGATCAAGAGACAACACTACCGCAGGGCATCCTAAATCTGCCCCTGGGTGTAATGCAAATTGCCAAGGTGGGTCCTTGTGAAATGGGCTAAGGAAACAGTACTCTGCAGCATGTATTACCTTATTCATTATAAGATTTTGTTCTATATTTTTCTGTTTAGTATTCACTGCATTGGAATTCTGGGCCTGCCGGGTTCCCAGTTACACTCCTGGGTGGGAGAGAAAAAACATGAGGAAAATGGTTTGCCCAAGAGCACAGTTCAAATCCTTGATATTTGATTACTCTGTTTAAATTGACATGAAAATGAGTTGCCTCTTATGACTCCTCCTGCTGCTTGAGAGCAGAGAGCTGCTTAAGTTCCACTTCAACCAATCTTTGGTTAATTTTCAGATGCCAGCCATGTTTATGGAGTATAGATATTACACCTGATGCTTCAAGTGTATCATCTGCCTTGTTTCAACTTACCATGAACCCACCATTTACAGCTCTGCTATCTACAACAGGTAATCATTATAATATTTGTCTCCTCATTTTAAAAATCACTGAGTGAAAGGCTATTAGTTTGTATCGATCAAAAAAATAAACCAAAAAAAAAACATGAAAACTACAGTAACATGGGAGAGATACAAAAGTATGAAACCACAGCCACAGGTTTATAGGGATTTACACTATTTTTAAAGATAAAGTGTGTTTTTTTTTTCTAAGAATTACTATAAAAATAATTTTTAAATTTTTATATTTGCTACTTTTATTTTGATAAGTTATCAGCTTTAATGTGAAAATTAGAATGCGAAAATATTTTTCTCACTAATTACCAGGAGGCATAAATATATAATAAATAAAGTATTTTAAATATTAATTTATTAGTATAATGTTTTTTGTGCACAAGTGGAAAATTAGTGTATGAGAGAGCAATAAGTCCAAGAAGAAATTGTTTAAGGGCCTGCAGGGACTGAGGAAATCAGCTTAAGCATAAGCAGCACCCTGGAGCGCATCACGCTGCTAGACCTTTGCTATAGCAGCAACAACAAATACGATCATGCTAATTACTGTATATGTAAACATTGAAATAACTTTTTAAGACTTGGACTTGTTTTTAATATAAAGATTTCATTCTTTTTTCATTTTAAAATGTTCATGCTCTTTAGTAATTTAGTTTTATCGTTTAATTATTCCATGATAGTAACTATGTAAAGTGAAATGCTAGGCCTCTGAAAGTCCCCCAGTAGTGGTTGCCAGGTTATTGGAATTTTCAATTCAAATTTTGCGAAAATGGTATATATCTAGCCAGGCAAAAGTGTAATAACCATTATTAATCTTTTAGAATAATTATAGTCATCTTTTGTTGTCTAAACACATCTAGGTTTATTAGGACTAGGCCTCAAATACCTTTATTCCATTTTTGCAGTGAGGGTTAATTTTTTTTTTTTTTTTTTTTAGTATTTAATGTTAAGTGCAACGAAGCTCCAACATTTTACGCTATAGAGGTCCACCATTATTATTATTATTATTATTATTATTATTATTATTATTATTATTATTATTATTATTATTATTCCAAATTTTTTGTCTTTCTGGCATGGAACATGGCTGGCATCTGAAAATGTTCACTTTAAATTCACCTTCTGCCAAGAGATGGAAGTGCATTTTAGTGAGTTTGTTCAGGTTCTAATTTTGTCTCTTGCTCTACGAATCTCATGTTTACAGTATTTATTATTAGGCTGTAATCATCTGTGCTGCTATGCCTAATGTTGTAGGTAAACATCAGATTTGAGGATTGATGGCCTCCGGTTGTCAAATGGACACTGCTCAAATGCACTAGATATAATTAGTGTACAGATTGGAAAATTGCAGAGAAGGTTAAATGAAAACATAGTTTACATTGTAATGAGTTTTATTTTTTATAGTTCATTCCTAAGACAGTTTTTAATCAAGTGCAAGGGGATTTTTGTCATATTAACTGCCCATGAAATATTCACTGATAAATATCGTCAATTTGATTACTGTACAGTAGTTCACATTTTATTATATTCTTGAAAATATAAACATCCTGAAGTCTTCTTTTAATTGGATGAGATGTAGAACGTTACGTCATTCACACCATGTACTTATTAGTAAGAATATTGCTTGACTTGGCTTTGCTCAATCAAGTGCAAGTGGATTTTTGTCATATTAACTGCCCATGAAATATTTACTGATAAATATTGTAAATGTTTGCTTAAAGTGGCATTTCATATCAGTATCATCAATTTGATTACTGTACGGTAGTTCACATTATTCCATTATTTTCCTGAAAATGTAAACATCCTGAAGTCTTCTTGTAATTGGATGAGATAATAATAATAAATAATAGATGGATTTATATAGCACAAATAAACAAGGTCTCTATGCGGGTGTTCTTCAAAAAAAAAAGATGTAGAATGTTACATCATTCACACCATGAATATTGCTTGACTTGGCTTTGCCCACTTTACAGCATGCAAATGAGTAATTGCCAAAGCTCTTGCAAGCATGTAAGCTCAGTTATGTCTTTTCAAGTCCAATGTATTGCCTGCCACTGATGGGCTTCTGCGGCTTGCAAAATGAGTGCAAAATGGTTTATGCTGATGCATAGGCCAATGATACATACCACCCTTTCTCATAGACAAGGTGTGCACAAACCACAAGAAGTTTGTAAGTTTGTAACAGAATTTACTAGCATCTTTTGGGGAAAATGCAATGATCAATCCCCTGTGATTGCAGGCTGTTCTTCATAAAAAAAAAATCAACAATAATGCCCAAATGTTTAGAAGATAAAAAACTAACATAATTTGAAAAATGGAATTATGATATTGATATCTTGCTTTACAGTCTTCTGAGTCTGTTGTTTATCAATAGTGCCAAAAAATCTTGATGTGTGTGTATTTGTGCGTTTAGCAAGTGGGCGGAGCTAAAATTGTGAGGAACACTTTGGTTTTTAATTTTCAAAGGGATGCTTTATCGAGTGATCCTCTTCCCACTAATGACTTTTGTTGCCATTCCCACTGATCATTACGATGTACTACATGCGTGTAATATGTACACACAAGACTGTCAATTGAAGTCTCTGATTTACTTGCCAAGAAGACATTGCCATTTAAATACTAAATTTAGACGTGGATCCATAAGTGGTTGCGGTCATTATTTCTGTCTCAACCTCTACGTGATGGGTTTCTATCATTGGCTTGTTGATGGACCTACCTAATAATCAATTGCACATAATTGCTGATGCCATCATCAATGAATCAACCTCAAGTTGACATTTAATGTAAGGTTGAAGGGTCAGGAGTGATTGTTGACCTTATGACATTGTATAGCCAGCCTGTATTTTGGGAATTAATTGCTATATTTTGTTCCAATGCCTATATTTAAAATTGAAATTTGTACTGATTTTATCAATATATTCAGGTGGTATAAACAAAAGGTAAAAGTAGAAGAATAATCTCTATACTCTAAGCGTCATTATTTTTTTTTTCATAACATAACATAAAACATACATGTACATTACAAAGCAAATAAACCGCTTCAAAAAAAACATTAAAAAAAAATTACATTTCTAAAAGCATATTTCATTTTTAATTTCTCAATGAAAGATAAAAAACAAAATCAGTGTTATAATTCAAACTAGAAAAAATAATAGTCACAATGTTTTACTTAAACTTTTTTTTTTAACAAGAAAAGAAAAGGAGAAAAAAAAACACTATTCCCTAATAATTTTTTAGTTATAATTTTTGTAATAATTTTCATAATAATTTAATATATTTCCATTTCTCCTCAAATTTTTCCAATGTATTTTTCTTACAAGCAATGCCCTTTTCCATTATATAAATCTTTTTTTTTTATTATTAATTGTCATTATGTTGAATTGCATTTGGGCGTAGTTTTGCTTCATGTTCACAACGTTCCACAACGACAGGGGCTAAAAAAACCACACTCTTCACAAAGATGCATGGGTTCTCTTTAAGTGCACAGGAGCCAGAATAATACACTGTACCTCTGGCACAACCAAGTCCAGAGCGAGGAGCATCTCGAACCAGCACCGATGTTAAGGCTGTAGGAAACAGCACCCCTGCTTTACGCTTGGGCACTCGACTCCTATGTAGACCAATGGGTGCTACACCAGGTTACTTTATAACATAGGCTTATCAGTGATGGGATGATTTTCAGAGAAATTTTTACTGACAGATTAATTCCCTGACAGGAGATTTCACTGATGAGACATCTGGCTGACAATGCTTTCTGCCAACAGCTAATAACCTGTCCGATGTTGTGATGGCAAAAAAAATGGAATTTATAATTGGTGAAACATCTTGTTAAGAACTGTAATGTCAGTAATGACCTGTCTGTGTAATATTAAAATCCCATAAAGTTCATTTGGCCAAATAGTCTGTCTTCTGATCAAAAATGTCTGTCAATGTACTGTCTGTCATTGAACCAAGAGGTTCTAAATAAACCATGGGTGCTATTACAGTAGCTTAGCGTGTCTTCAATTCCAGGCTATGTGCAGTTTAGTGTAAACATGCTATCAATTCTGGGCCATGTGCTAGACTGGGTTCCAGTCCCTAAACTTTGTCTTAATCAGTGAAAATGCTTAAAAATAAATCGATAGATTGATTGATTGAATTTATTTAGTAAAAATAATATACCTGCACAACAAAAAGAATAATTATTAGGATGAAGCACGTAAAAGTACACAAAGCACTTATTTCCAATGTGGTCCTTTTAAAAAAAAAAAAAAGAGAAAAAGATTATTTTACAAGTTTCAATAATAAAATAATGGAATAAAATATAAAAAAACCACAGTAAATATATAAGAGATTTAAAACTATCTATTAAATTATTTACTCTCCTAAAACAAGTCTATTGAATAAAATTTTTATCACACAAATTTTTAAAACTATTTAATGATTGACATTTTTAAACCTTTAAAGGTAACTTGTTCCAATTACTTATACCGGTATATAAAAAGGAACTAAGACCAGAGTTATTCAAGAGCAGAGTTTTCAAGTAATCATTTATCAATTTTCACCTCTGACCTCCTGGCATGGTGCTGCCACTATATGTATCAATTCCAGGCTCTGTGCCGTTAACTATTGATTGTGGCCTATAGTGCTATATGGTGTGTGTTGTCAAATTTTATAGACCGTGTATATTACATGCTATCACTTTCAGGCTGTGTGAAGTCATTCACTGTACGTGCTATCAAATTTCAGGTAGAGCAGTCATGCTGAGCGTATACGTATGCTGTCAATTTTGAGTTCTACTTATCCATAACTGACACTAGATGTAGTACCGTAACCATTACTTATACTTATGTGTGGGTGTGATTTGTTCTTTCGTATTCTGGTCATAGCAATTGAAGGGCTTTTTGCGAATTGGCAGGTGTAAGTAATAACAACCTTATTAATTCCCATGTCTCCACCGCAGGTGCAATTGACAATGCCTAGCACCGATGTATATGTATCATAAACAGAAAAAAATAACT